AGCAGATTTGGTTTCTTCTGAGGCCTCTCTTTCTAGCTTGTAGATGGCTACCTTCTCACTGTGCCCTCACATGGTCTTTGCTTGGTGTATACACACCCCTGGTGTCTGTGTGTGTTCAAATTTCCTCTTCTTATAAGGATACTAGTCAGATTGGATTAGGGTCCATCCTAATTGCCTCATTTTAGCTTAATCACCTCTTTAAAGGCCCTATCCCCAAGTACACTCACATTGAGAGGTTCTGAGAGTTAGGGCTTCAACATATAAATTTGCCGGGGGCAGGGGGTACATATAAATTCAGCCCACAATATATCCTATCCTGCAACTTTGGGCTCTGCTAAAGATCTTAGTTCCTAAGGAAAGAATGCTTCCATGAAAGGTCACACAATGGTTTCATTGAATTAGAAGTTGTGACTATCATCTGGCCATTTTGAGTGCCTCGTGTCATTCAACCAATAGGAAAATAAGGAATTATTCTACTACCTGGAATGATTGATCCCAATATCCAGGGGAAACTCAGTTGCCACTAACAATAATAGCAAGGAGGACTATGTCTGGAACCAGGTATTCTCCGGGGCTCTTCTTACTAGTCTCATATTCAATAGTAAAAGTTAATGAAAAACATCAGCAACCAAAAAAAAGGAAGAGCACTAAAGATTCAGACCTTTTGGAAGAAGAAGAGGTAAGGACAACCCCTAGACCGGCCAAAGCCCGTGCACCGCTGCATCCCGCGCACAGCGCCTACAACCCGCCACCGTCGCTGCTACCACCATGCCCAAGAGAAAGGCTGAAGGGGACGCTAAATGAGATAACGCCAAGGTGAAGGACGAACCACAAAGACCGCAAGGTTATCTGCAAAATCTGCTCCTCCAAAGCCAGAGCTCAAGCCTAAAAAGGCCCCTGCAAAGAAGAGAGAGAAGGTACCCAAAGGGAAAAAGGGAAAAGCGGATGCTGGCAAGGAGGGGAAAAACCCTGCAGAAAATGGAGATGCCAAAACAGACCAGGCACAGAAAGCTGAAGGTGCTGGAGATGCCAACTGAAGTGTGTGCATTTTTGATAACTGTGTACTTCTGGTGACTATACAGTTTGAAATACTATTTTTCATCAAGTTTTATAAAAATGCAGAATTTTTTTTAAGGTATGTTGTCAGCACACAGAACACTGCATAGTTATATTTTTGGGGAAGAGGCATATGTCACTAATAGAAAGTCTGCAAAGCTGGATTGATGTGGGGAAAACATCTTTCCCTTCTAGTTTTGAGAGACTTCCTCTTGGTTCCCAGTAGGAGGGATTCCCTGAGTTTGACACACATGGCCACCTTGGCACAAAAGCCTTGTGGTATGGAAAAACAAATTCTTTTTTTTTTTTTTTGAGGCAGAGTCTTGCTTTGTCACCCAGACTGGAGTGCAGTTCAGTGGTACAACCTTGACTCACCGCAGCCTCCACCTCCCAGGTTCAAACAATTCTCCTGCCTCAGCCTCCCGAGTAGCTGGGACTACAGGCGCCCGCCACCTCGCCCGGCTAGTTTTTTGTATTTTTTAGTAGAGACGGGGTTTCACCGTGTTAGCCAGGATGGTCTCGATCTCCTGACCTCGTGATCCGCCCGTCTCGGCCTCCCAAAGTGCTGGGATTACAGGCTTGAGCCACCGCACCCGGCCAACAAATTCATTTTTATGTCTTCTTCTCCCTTTCCACCTTTCAGCATAGACTTAACTCCCTTAAGACCCAGACATCTGTTGGGACCTGACCCCTAGTCATTGGCTACCAGTGTGTCAGACAATCTGGACTTTCCAGTGATGCCACTGAGATGGCACCTGTCAAAAGAGCAGTGGCTCCATTTTTAGATTGTGGATCTTCAGATAAATTCTGCCATTTTCATTTCACTTCCTGAAAGCCAGGGTTGGCTTGTGAAAAGTTGTTAAACAACATGTTAAATGTGAAATGTCAACCCTCACTCTAAACTTTCCCTGTTCAAAGCATCAGATGAAGACTTCATTGGGTTTTATAGTGGCTTTCTGATTTTTGGTAGTCCATTGAAGAAGGGAGTTTGAAAGTTGTTGTATACTGTTAATGACTGTCTGCCCATGTCCTGCCTGAAATACCATGACTGTTTATGGAAAGTATCTTTAATAAAGCTGGATACAGTTTGGCTTGGGGAAAAAAAAAAGATTCAGACCTTTCAGGAATGAAGGTGTGAGACACCCTACCAGGTAAAAACCCTGACCAGTTGAGACCCTGGTTGAGGGCAAAGGATACATAGAACAAACCCATTAAGAAGGAAATGATAAATATCAACTATATCCTTGTGACCAGTTATGAAAATGAAGATTGTAATATATTTCTGTATATTAACTATTTTCTTCTCTCTCCTTTTTTCCTTACTGTTTGAACAAGTTTTGGTGGAGGTTAGCTTTAAAATTTAGTCTTTAGGTAACAGAATATTCATATAGGACTGTGATTGAATTTAAAAATAAATTATCAACCCCCTTATGTTGTGGACAAATTGACAATGGCTTAGTCTGTATGAAGTATATGAATGAAGGACAGTTACATCTTGTTAGGTAAAAACCAAGTTGTTTTTGCTCTATGGGAGTTCAAATATGTGGAGAAGGGTATCTGGACACCAAGTAGCCAAAGGAATGGACCAAACCAGTTATTACACTATTGTCTTTGAGCTCCAAAACCCACCCTCTACTTTGCCTTAGAATACTAAGACTAGACTCTGCAGATCACATTTTTGCTTTGCTAGCTGAACTCCATTAAGTTCTGCCAATAATGAGCACTAGAAAGAGATGGTGAGGCTGTAGGAAGAAGGGAGTTGCCCTTCCTCTTAGTTTCCTATGGGTTTCCTGTCTGTTTCCCATTCATATAAGTCTGCCCATTCATATAAGTATCTCCTTAACCCTTTTTTTTTTTTTTTTTTAAGAGACAATCTTGCTATGTTGCCCATGTTGGACTTGAACTCCTAAGCTCAAGTGATCCTCTCAACTCAATCTCCTGAGTAGCCAGGACTACAGACCTACACAATTAAGGTGCCTGGCACCTTAGCACTTCTTTACCCTGGCAGTGGCAGTGCCACTCTATGACAGCAGCTGAATCCAGCCTGCAGTTTTTCCAGAACCAGCTTTATTGCATCTCTCCTCCTCCAGAGACAACAGTATTATCTAGTCAGTGCCACTCAGAGGTCTGAGTTTCATTAAGTAGGCCCTTCCTCAAAACTTCTAAGTTTTAACCATTTCAGCCTCTTTCCTTTGTTTCCCCAGCCCCAGTGGGGGAGTTGTTTTCTATAATTGCTATCTCCATGAAAATTTGGTGGTTCTCTTTTTCTTCAGTTACCTACTTAACCAACATTATTTTTTCAATTGAAATGGGGTCTCACTGTATCACCCCAGGCTGGAGTGCAGTGGTGCAATCTCAGCTCACTGCAACCTCCACCTCCCGGGTTCAAGTGATTCTCCTGCCTCAGCCTCCCAAGTAGCTGGGATTACAACACCCAGCTTTTTTTTAAATTTTTGGTAGAGATGGGGTTTCACCATGTTGGCCAGGCTGGTCTCGAACTCCTGCCTTCCAGTGATCCACTGGCCTAAGCTTCCCGAAGTGCTGGGATTACGGGCATGAGCCACTGCACCCAGCCTACTTGACCATTCTTTAAAGATTTTCTATTCAAATAATTGGTGTAGCTTCTATTTCCTGACTGGATCCTAACTAGTACAATTCCCACTCTCTCTGCAAGAATCCTCGCTTACCAGGGCTCTTACCTTCTTTCTCTACAAACCGTTTATAGGTAAACCCATGCACTTCGACAATTTTTGTTTTTTGTTTTTTGTTTTTTTTTTTTAGAGAAGAGGGTCTCACTTTGTCATCCAGGCTAGAGTGCAGTGGGCCAATTAGAGCTCACTGTCACCTCAAACTCCTGGACTCAAGGGATCCTCCCACCTCAGCCTCTCAAGTAGCTGGGACTACAGGCCTGTGGTAACACGCTCTGTCCACTTCAACAGTTTTAACCACCACCTGTGTGCATACAACTTTCAACGAACCAATATGAGATGTAATAAAAAAGAGTTTTGTATGTGCCTTCGTAACATCACTCATCAACTCTAGTTATTTACCTGTCAGTCAATCCCTTCTCCAGATTGTAAGCTCCTAGAAGACAGGGACCATGTCTTATCTATCTATGTATCTGTAGTGCCTGATCCAGTATCTAGCACAGAGTAGATACCCAAGGAAAAAATGTAAGGCCAGGAATGGTGACTCACACCTATAATCCCAGCAATTTGGGAGGCCAAGGCGGGAGGACAGTTTGAGAATAGCCGTTTGAGATCAGCCTGGTCAATATGGTAAGTCCCCGTCTCAACGAAAAGAAATTTTTTTAGCCAGTCATGGTAGTGCACACCTGTAGTCCCAGCTACTTGGGAGGCTGAGGCGGGAAGATTGCTTGAACTCAGGAGTTCAAGACTGCAGTCAGCTATGATTGTACCACTGCACTCCAGCCTGGGCGACAGAGACTCTGTCTCAGAAAAAAAAGAAAAAACAACAACAACAAAGAAACAAATGTTGAGGCCGGGCGCGGTGGCTCAAGCCTGTAATCCCAGCACTTTGGGAGGCCGAGACGGGCGGATCACGAGGTCAGGAGATCGAGACCATCCTGGCTAACACGGTGAAACCCCGTCTCTACTAAAAAATACAAAAAACTAGCCGGGCGAGGTGGCGGGCGCCTGTAGTCCCAGCTACTCGGGAGGCTGAGGCAGGAGAATGGCGTGAACCCGGGAGGCGGAGCTTGCAGTGAGCTGAGATCCGGCCACTGCACTCCAGCCCGGGCGACAGAGCGAGACTCCGTCTCAAAAAAAAAGAATAATAAAAAAAAAAAAAAGAAACAAATGTTGAAATAGTGATTGAAAACTAATGGAGTTCCTCTTAATTTCACCAAGGTCTCAGGTAACCAGAGCTGCAATTCAGACTAATACTTTCATCTTCAAGTGCTAGATACAATGGTTTCAACTTACCTTCAATACAGAGGTCTGTCACACTCCCATCTTCCACACTGTGTAACAGTCCTTGGAGCAGAGGGAGGTAAGAAAGGGGTGGTTAGGCAGGGCACGGTGGCACATACCTGTATCCCAGCAATTTGGGAGGCCAAGGTGGCAGATTACCTGAGGTCAGGAGTTCAACAAAAGCCTGACCAATATGGCGAAACCCCGTTTCTACTAAAAATACAAAAATTAGCCAGGAGTAGTGACCTGTGCCTATAGTCCCAGCTACTCGGGAGGCTGAGGTAGGAGAATTGCTTGAACCCAGGAGGCAGAGATTCCAGTGAACTGAGCCTGGGCAACAGAGCGAGACTGTCTCAAAAAAAAAAAAAAAAAAAAAAAAAAAAAAGGAGTGGTTAACAGTTCTCTTCAAAGAGAAATAGACCCATGCAGGCACACTGTAATTTGTAAGTCTAAAAGCAGCTATAAACAATGTTCCAACTAAATTCTACTCTCAGCACCAAACACTTTGACTTTCAATGACCTGCCCAGGCTTTAAAAAGATAATTGGCCAGGCTGGACTTTAGAGTCCTATACTGGACTCTTTGAAGATTTTTTTTTGAGATGGAGTCTTGCTCTGTCGCCCAGATGAGTGCAGTGGCACGAACTAGTCTCACTGCAACCTCCGCCTCCAGGGTTCAAGCAATTCTCATGCCTCAGCCTCCTGAGTAGCTGGGACTACAGCCACATGCCACCACATGGAGCTAATTTTTGTATTTTTAGTAGAGACAGGGGTTTTACCATGTTGACCAGGCTGGTCTCTAACTCCTGACCTCAAGTGATCTACCCGCCTCAGCCTCCCAAAGTGTTGGGACTACAGGCATGAGCCACCATGCCTGGCCAACATTTCCCATTTTCATCTTCTTACTTTTACTAACTTCTTGGCTCTAGTAAAGTCAGTTACTGTAAAATGCATCTTGGATCTTAGAAAAGGGGCCATTTCCACATCATTATGACAAAACAATTTGCTAATAAAGTTTTACAATACAAAAAATCTAAATCATCTAGGATCATTTTTCAAGACCTCCAAAAGCAGATATACATACTATACATTCAAAACTCATATCAAATTTCCCTCCTAATCTTACCAAAAAGCACGCTTATGAAGCGGATGCAGACTCTCTGATCCTGAGACACCAGTTGCGTGACCAGGGAGGTGTGCCTCACGAGGGCATCTTGGAAGCAAGACAACATGTGCTTCTTGCGCAACAACTTGAAGCAAATGAAGAAAAATATTCAATAGTAACCAAATCTTGGCTATTCTGAATCCAACAACCATAATTTCCAAATACAATTACAGGATGATACCGGAGAGATCATTTAAACTATGGCGAGACCCATACTCCTTCAAGGGAGGTTGGAAAAGGGTATCATTTACACAGAGGAATCCATGTGTTCATACAGAAGATTATACATGAGCTAAGGTTCCTAATGCCCTACATTTACATAGCAATTTATTTTTCACAAATCACTTTCGTCCACCAGCTCATTTAAGCCTAACATGTTGGTGAAGAAAGCAAAAACAGGCCAGGCGCAGTGGCTCACGCCTGTAATCCCAGCACTTTGGAAGGCCAAGAAAGGCGGATCACGAGGTCAGGAGATCGAGACCATCCTGGCTAACACAGTGAAACCCCATCTCTACTGAAAATACAAAAAAAATTAGCCGGTGTGGTGGCGGGCGCTTGTAGTCCCAGCTACTCAGGAGACTGAGTCAGGAGAATGGCGTGAACCCGGGAGGCGGAGCTTGCAGTAAGCCGAGACTGCGCCACCACACTCCAGTCTGTGCGACAGAGCGAGACTCCATCTCAAAAAAAAAAAAAAAAAAAAAAGCAAGCAAGCAAAAATAGAGGCTGGATGCAGTGATTCACACCTGTAATCTCAGCACCTTAGGAGGCCAAGGTAGGCGGATCACGAGGTCAAAAGTTCGAGACCAGCCCGGCGAACATGGTGAAACCCCATCTCAACTAAAAATAAAAAAATTACCCGGGCATGGTGGCAGGTGCCTGTAATCCCAGGGAGGCAGAGGTTGCAGTGAGCCAAGATAGCGCCATTGCACTCCAGCCTGGAGGACAAGAGTGAGACTTCGTCTCAAAAAAAAGGAAAGAAAAGTGTGGCTTTTCTTTTTTTTTTTTTTTTGAGACAGAGTTTTGCTCTTTTTGCCCAGGCTGGAGTGCAATGGCGCGATCTCGGCTCACCGCAACCTCCGCCTCCCGGGTTCAAGCGATTCTCCTGCCTCAGCCTCCCGAGTAGCTGGGATTACAGGCATGTGAAGTGTGGCTTTTCAAAGGCCGGGCATGGTGGCTTAGGCCTGTAATCCCAACATTTTGGGAGGCCGAGGTGGGCGGATCACCTAAGGTTGGGAGTTCAAAACCAGCCTGACCAACGTGGAGAAACCTAATCTCTACTAAAAGTACAAAATTAGCCGGGCGTGGTGGCGTATGCCTATACTCCCAACTAATTGGGAGGCTGAGGCAGGAGAATCGCTTGAATCCAGGAGGGGAGGTTGTGGTGAGCAAAGATCGCGCACCACTGCACTCCAGCCTGGACAACAAGAGCAAAACTCCATCTAAAAAAAAAAAGAAAGAAAGAAAGAAAAAGAAAAGTGTGTTCAAGCCAGGTGTGGTGGCTCACACCTGTAATCCCAGCACTTTGGGAGGCCAAGGTGGGTGGCTCACCTGAGGTCAGGCATTCAAGACCAGCCTGGCCAACATGGTGAAACCTCTTCTCTACTAAAAATACAAAAATTAGCTGTGCGTGGTGGCAGGCGCCTATAATCCCAGCTACTCAGGAGGCTGAGGCAGAAGAATCGCTTGAACCCGGGAGGCGGAGGTTGCGGTGATCCAAGATTGCGCCATTGCACTCCAGCCTGGGCAACAAGAGTGAAACTCCATCTCAAAAGAAAAGTGTGCTCAATAAAAGGTAGAAGTTGCATCTCTTATTGCTTCTCATCTGTGCTACTGTAAGGCTCCTGTTTTTCCTTCACCAATTCATCCTACATAATAGATTAAGGTAGTGATCTATGAGCTACTCAAAAAATCCTAATAACTCCCCTTCATCTGACAGATTATGTTCAAGCTCCTTAGCTGGGTTTCAAACTCTTCAAATAACTGTCCTCAACCTGTCTCTCCAATCTCATCTCTTTCAATTTCCCTTCAAACACTCTGATTATCCCCAAAACCCATCCTTATAATACCTACCTCCTGGGATAATCAGCCTCCCACTTCCTCTGGTCCAAATCTCACCCATCTTCTTAAACCTAATTTGAATGCTTCCTCCTGTAAGAACTCTTTCCTAATTCCTCTCCTTACCCTGAACAGCACTTGACCACAAACATGTTCATTCTTCTAAGTTCCAAATAACATGTTATCTTATTTTCTCCCCGCTGCACTGTCTTACTCATCTCTGATTTACTGTCCAAGAAAAGCAGCCTCAGAATTTCCATCCTTAATGAAAATTCAGAGGTTATTAGCTAGTTTCCGAGTTCCCAGAGCACAGTGTGGGGATTCCTAAGGGTGCCTAAAACACTTTCCAGGGGTCCACAATAACAAAAATATTTTCATATAATATTAAAATGTTCTTAGTCTTCCTCATTTTTTTTCCATGTTGGCCAGGCTGCTCTTGACTCCTGGCCTCGTGATCCAACCACCTCGGCCTCCCAAAGTGCTGGGATTACAGGTGTGAGTCACTGGACCTGGCCCAGTCTTTCTCATTCTTATTCTCCCACAGTGTACAGTGGAGTTTTTGAGACTACATGACATGACATCACAACAGACTGAATTCAGAAATAGATAAAAATCCAGCTGTTTGGCTGGGTGTGGTGGCTCACATCAGTAATCCCAGCACTTTGGGAGGTCGAGGCAGGCAGATCACCTGAGGTTGTGAGTTCAAGACCAATCTGACCAACATGGAGAAACCCAATCTCTACTAAAAATACAAAATTAGCCAGGTGTGGTGGCGCATGCCTGTAATCCCAGCTACTTGGGAGGCTGAGGCATGAGAATCGCTTGAACCTGGAAGGCAGAAGTTGCAGTGAGGCAAGATCGCACCATTGCACTCCAGCCTGGGCAACAAGAGTGAAACTCCATCTCAAAAAAATAAGTAAGTAAATAAATATATCCAGCTGTGTTTAAGAGAGACAGGGTCTTGCTCTTGTCCAAGAAGGTATGCCGTGACTTGATCATCGCTCAATGCAGTCTTGAACTCCTGGGCTCGAGTGATCCTTCCACCTCTGCCTCCCAAAGCAGTGGGATTACAGGCCTGAGCCACTGTGCCTGGCCAACCTGTCTTCAATTAAAGCAACTTGCAAAAATGTAAAACAAAGCCACTCCTGTCACTATCTTTCTTGTTTTGAGAAAATACAGTCATTTACTTTTTTTAAAATTACTAATGCCACAGGACCATACACTTAAAAAGATCTAAAAACAAACTGTATGTTATCTATATTTTGCCACGATAAAAAATTACTTATGGGCCAGGCACAGTGGCTCATACCTGTAATCCCAGCACTTTGGGAGGCCAAGGCGAGGGAATCACTGCTTGAGTCCAGGAGTTTTGAGACCAGCCTGGGCAACATAGTGAGATCCAGTCTCAAAAAACAGTAAAAAGTTACCTGGACATGGTGGTGCACACCTGTAGTCTCAGCTACTTATAAGGCCGAGGTAGGAGGATCGCTTGAGCCCAGGACATCAAGGCTGCAGTGAGCTATGATCACACCACTGCACTCCAGCCTGGGCAACAGGGCAAAACCCTGTCTCGGAAAAAAAAAAAACAAACCCACAAAATTTGTTAATATATAATGAATGTGCTATTCCTTCTAAATAAATAAAACTTTAAATTTCGTTTTTATGTCTAATACAGTAAATATCAATGGACAGACCAAGTGTGGTGGCTCACGCCTGTAATCCCAGCAGTTTGGGAGGCTTAGGTGGGCAGATCACAAGGTCAGGAGTTCAAAACCAACCTGGCCAACATGGTGAAACCCCATCTCTACTAAAAATATAAAACCTAGCTGGGCATGGAGGAACATGCCTGTAATCCCAGCTACTCAGGAGGCTGGAGCAAGAGAATTGCTTGAACCTGGGAGGTGGAGGTTGCAGTGAGGGGAGATCACACCACTGCACTCCAACCTGCGTGACAGAGTGAGACTCCATCTCAAAAAAAAAAAAAAAAAAAAGTCTAAAAAAAAAAAAATCACTGGATATAACCCACATAAACAAAAGCTCTTTGGGGTCAACAGTTTGTAAAGGTGTAAAGGTATCCTGAGATAAAATTATCAAAATCAGCCAAGCACAGTGGCTTATGCCTGTAATCCCAGCACTTTGGGAGGCTGAGGCGGGTGGATCACCTGAGGTCGGGAGTTCAAGACCAGCCTAAGATGGGGAAACCCTTTATCTACTAAAAATACAAAATTAGCCACGTGTAGTAACGCATGCCTGTAATCCCAGTACTTGGGAGGCTGAGGCAGGAGAATCGCTTGAACCCGGGAGGCCGAGGTTGCAGTGAGCAGAGATGGCGCCACTGCACTCCAGCCTGGGCTATAGAGTGAAACTCCATCTCAAGACAAACAAACAAAACAACTTCATTGCAAACACGGGTAGCGTTCACCCCACTTCTGCCCGGCTGTAACCTGTCACTCCTGTCCCCTCGGAGCCCAGACGGCCCCTCCTCCGATTCACACCCCGACAGCTGAAGAGAATGAGGAGCAGCCGTCGCGCGCGCGCCTGGCCCGCAGGTGAGCGGGGGCTGAAATGGCGGGAGCCTGAGCTAAGGCCGAATCCCCAGGAAATGGAGGCAGGGGCAGCAAAGGGAAGGAGCCAGAAGGCAGAAGGTGGGAAGGCGTGTCCCTGAGGCTGGGTGAGGTTCTGGGGGATCCGGATTCCCGCCCTTTCAGGCGCAGAGCCGGGTGGGCGGGGCTTCCCCGAGGCCAGCAGACCCGCCTGGGGCTGAGGCGCCCGCGAAGCCACTGCGGCTGGTTCCCGGATGGGCTGACTGAGAGGAGAGTGAACACAGCGCGGGGGCTCGGTTTCGCGTCGGGTTCACCAGAGCGGGTCTGGCGAGGGCCCGGCGGCGTTTGCTGAGGGAAATGCCCAAACCCAGGTCTTCCGAAGGAAAGGCTCCATCCGCACCGACACGCCGGGCTCCGGCAGCAGCTCCAGCGCGCAGGCCAGGCACAGGCGGGGGGTCACGGGCAGCAGCCAGCGCGGGTCGTGCCGGTAATGGACCCTCTGGAAGAGCAGCGCCGCCTCTTCCTCCCTCCTGGGTCCGGGAGTGCCCACCGTCGCCGCCTCCCTCACAGCCATCTCCTCGCCTGCGCTCAACTGAGGCGGCACTTTTTCCCGCGCAGACTGCACGCATGCGCACTTGGAGGACAGACCTGCGTCGGTGTGGAGTGCGCCTGCACGGACCCAGGGCGCTGCAGTGTCAGGCAAGCAGCCCCTGAGGGCGAGTGGTGGACACAAGGGCTCTGGATCGTGTCTAACTAAGCCAAAAGCAGTTTGTGCTTAGAACCCTGCAGGAATGTGTTTACCACACCCAAAGTTGAAAAGCAATTATAAAGTAGGGGACATTTGTCTTGAAAAAGGAAGGAAAGGAAGCTATTTCTACTTTGTTTATGTAGTATGGCCGCCTCCTGCCCAATAGTGTACTTATTTATTTATTTTAATTTGTATTTTTTATTGTTTTTTGGAGACGCAGGGTCTCCTCTTTCAGCCACAGGCCTGGAGGTGCAGGTGCCGGATTCTCAGCTCACGGCACGCTCTGCCCTTCCAGGGTTACGCCATTCTCCTGCCTCAGCCTTCCGAGTAGCTTGGGAACTACAGGCGCGCCGCACCGGGCCTGGCTAGTTTTTTGTATTTTTTTTTTTTAGTAGAGACGGGGTTTCACCATGTTAGCCAGGGATGTCTCGATCCGCTGACCTCATCGGAGGCGATCCGTCTCCCGTCCCAGCCTCCCTATATAGAAGAGTGCTGCGGATAGTTATCAGTGGCTATATGGAGCACCACCGGATTATTACTATCTAGTACCATTTTACGCGCCCGCCGATTTGCATGACATTTGTTTAACCAATAGTGTAAGGGCCCGGGCGCATTATTAATTCGGTGGAACGGTCAAGAGGCTGTAAATCCCAGCTACTTTAGGGACAAGCCGCACGTCGGCCAAGGATTCAGCGGCATTTGTGTCCAGAGCTCTAAGACCATTGTGTTCGCCAACTGGTGAAACCCATCTATACCTAAAATTAGCGATAAAAAATAGAATGAGTTGGTTGAGCGGACAATGTTTTACTTTCCACTGGTTTGGAGTTGGGTCTGTATGGCAGTCACGTAATCCGCAGCTACTGGGGAGCACGCATGAGCAGGAAGGAATTGCATGAGAATCAAAGCCTGGACGGCAAGGCACCTGGTAAAGATGTCTCCAGATGAAGACTGGAAGATTTGGGCTCACTGCACTCCGCCTGGGCCACAGAGGAAGGGGACTCCCCTGAAAAAGAACACACAAAAAGAACGGACCTTGATAATAATAATGTGCTATCTCCCAACATTGAGTTTGCTTCATCAAAAGAGCCGAAATTAGCGCGGTGTGAATGAGGTCATGGCTGCATGGCTCATGACTTGGTAACCACTCGGACTCGAGGCACACTATCTGGTAGAGGACTCACAGGTAGGGCAGGAGGATATATCGCCTCAATTGGTCTGAAGGAAAAGAGCAATACCATAGCCCTGCGTCAGAACAAAGGCTAGGTAACCCCAGCGTCTCTAATATAAATATAGGAGGAAGATGCAATCAGGATTTAGGAGCGGATGCATGGCTCGGGTACCTGTAGTAATCCCATTTCGATCATAAACATCTACGTGAGAGGCTGAGGCCGACATGAGAATTCAGATAGCAACGTTCATCCTTGAACCTGCGGCCGACGCCATGGAGCTCCGGTGGAGGTATCACAAGGCTCGAGCCGAGTAATCTAACACGCACGACCGCAAGTCTCTAGCTCTGCATGCCCAAGTGGGTGACAGAGAACCTGCCTCTTCAATCTCGATACTCAATGTTATGCATGAGCTGAACTCTATATAGACCCCCAATAGAAAGATACACAGTAATAGACCATAATTACTTATAGTATGAGAACGAAAAGAGGTTCGAGATCAGCGCTGGGCAGATTCTATGGGCAAAAACCACCACCATCTAGCTAAAATAGATGATTAAAAGTACTTATACTTCCGGGCTGGGGCTGTGTGGCGTCGATGATTCCTATGGTTGGTAATCCGGCTACTGGGCAGGCTTGAGGCTAGAGAATCGCTTGAGGTCCTGTGAAAAGCGGTTGATGTGACAACAGGTTACAGTGAGAGGCCAAAGATCAACGCCAGAATGCACTCCCTATTGACTATGGTGCCAGCCCAAATGAGGCACAAGCCACTACCCAACTCAAAGAAAAAAAAAAAAAAAAAAGTGTCCCATGCAGAGGACCACCCCTCCCCATAAGCAGCTGAAGCTTTTGGAGTATCCTGCCTCAATCAGGATTAGCCTGGGGACAGGGCAGGACAGAACCTCAGTGGACTCTACTGTGAGGAGCTGGGAGGGGAGGTGTTTCGGAGATAAGACTGGGTTGATGCACATTCCCTAAACCTTCACAACCACAGAGTGGAAGTGGCTTCTACCCCACCCACAAAGTATCCGAAACCCCAAAAGGGGGCGCTTGGAAAATGTGCCAGAGAAATCAGAACACCACAGGACCCAAATGACCAATTTATTAGAGGTTTTGCGGGGATGAGGACATTCTCAAAGCTTTTCTGATGTGTCCTGAGGACTCTGGGCCTGAGTCTGCTTTTTAAAGCCATGCTGGAAGAGAAAAAAACTCAGATGCTTCATAATACTAAACTTTTTGGAGGCCGGTGTATTCTGTGGAGCCCCATTTGGGTTCCCAGGTGCTCCCTGGCCCTGGGGACTCTCTGTCTTAGGAAGGGTGGCCCCAGTACAGCAGTGACCTTGCGGCTGAAGATCCCTCTGTGAAGCAGTGTGGTCTCTGATGCTGTCCTCCCCTGCACGTGGATCACCTACTTTGGGAAGCAGAGTAGAATCAGGTTCCCTCAGGCTCAGGTTAGGGGCCAAGTGCTGGCACTTGGTGAGCTGTGGGGACCAGGACATCTTGTTCAGAAGGGTCAGGCTCAGCTTTGCCACCGCAGAGTGGAGCCTCCCTTTGAAGCTGACAGGTTCTGCACAATGGTAGGAAGGCTGCTGCCCAGCCCCTCTGCACCCTGTAGATTCCAGGCTTCCTCTTCTCCTGTATGTGGGCTGCTGGCATTTGAGTCTGGGGGGCTTGGGGGGCTTAGAGGGCTCCCAGGATATACATTCCTTCTTCCAGTGGGCGAGGTCTGCCCTGGAGGATGAGGTCCTCATTCTACTGGGAGCCCTTTCTGCCACCTGGGAGACCCTTGACCTGATCATTTTCCTGCCCCTGCTGTTCTCATTGGGAGGCTCTTCCACCCTTTGTAGGCCACACCAGCTCCTGGAGTCCACTGCCGGCCTGGGGATCCTGGGATCCTGGAGCTTGGTCCTAACAGGTGCTTCCTGGATCTCCTGTAGTTCTCTGGCGCCCCCGGGTGGCCTGACTCTCATGGCCCTTTCAGGCTGGATGGAAATGCCCATGGGCTCTGATCTGTGCAGTCTGTCGCTCTCCAGAGCTCTGGCTTGTGTAGGAAGTTTTGAGCTTTTTCTGTCTGGGCGCAGAACCCTCTGGAACCTCTCTGGGGACTTAAGGCCTGGTGAGGAGCCCTGGGCCTCACAATACCTTTCCTGCTGCGCTTGGAGCTGCTGGCCTGTGTTCAGTCCAGGGAGCCTCGCCCCAGCAAGGGTCAATGAGCAAGATCCTAAGAAGTTAAACAGGAAATAGGACTCCAGGATCCGCCGGGGAAGACCCCACTTCAGGTGTGCAATCCTCCTCCGCATGAGGGACTCCAGGAGCAGTCGTTTGCTCTTCTTGAGGCCTGTCCCCTTGGGCAGGATAGTGAGGGCAGTGGGAGCACCCTCCAGAGCGATGGCAGGTTCCGGGGCTGGGCCACACGGGAGACAGGGGCAAGCAGAGGGCATGCCCAAGGGAGCAGTCAGAGACAGAGGGTTTTGGGGCTGCCGAGTCAGGCTGGGGGCCTTCTCTGGATCCACCCCTTTGTCCCTTTGTCGTCTTCTCCAGGTTTCAGGTTGGGCCTGCTGGGAGGCTGGACTGATTCCCACTCTATGATCCCTGGCAGGGGTTGTGCCTTGGCTGGCCAGATGCTCTCCCTCCCCATCCACCAGCAGGAAGACTTCACCCCTGTGGGGGAAAGGATTTGTCTCAGGACAGGGGGCAGAGATGAAACCATTCACAGCCACTGCCTGTTCCTGTTCCAGAGTCCCAAGTCCATAGCCAGTGAAGGCTGGAGGCCATGGTAGGCTGTGCTTCCTGCCTGTGGGCCTCTCATTCCCAGAACAGTCGACTTGGAGACTGTCTCTCACAGCATCCTCTCCTCTGACCAGATCCTTATTTCCTCCCCTTGGTGCTTGAGGCCCTCCAACATCCTCATCTGTGCACTTTCTCTGGCTTCCTATATCCTGGAGTTCTGCAACGTCCTCAACTCCACCCTCATTCTTATTTCTTTGCCCTTGTACCTGGATCTCTTTATCAATTTCACCTCTTAACTGTCCCTGGTCATCTCCTGCAGGAGCCTGGGTCTCTGTACCATCATCACTTGTGGTCCCTCTCAGGTTTCTCTTCCCCTGTATTTGAATTTCTTCATCATTCCCACCTCCACCCTGTTCCTGGTTCTTCCACTCTGATAAACTGGTCTTTCCATTACCTTTACTTTTTAACAGTCTCTGGTTCTTTGCTCTAAGCCTCCAGTTTTTTCCCCTAAGCCTCCAGATCATTCTACCATCCTTGTTTCCAACCTCTCTCTGGTTTCTCTTCTCTGATGCTTGATTTTCTGCAACATTCTTTCCAGTCAGCTCCCAGTTCCTCCTCCCTGGTGAATGACTCCCTCCAATTTCACCATCTAACTGGTCCTCGTTCTCTCTCTTAGATCTCTGAGTCTTTACACCATCCTCACCTCCAGGTTCTCTCTGGTTTCTCTCCACTGGAGCCTGAATTTCTGTTCCATTCTCACTTCCCATCTGCTGCTGGCTCTTCCACTCTGATAAAAGGATCTTTCTACCAATATCACTTCTAAACTGACTCTGGGTTTCTTTCCCAGGTGCCCAAGTCTTTACACCATCCTCACCTCCAACTTCTCTCAGGTTTTTCTTCCCTTGTATCTGAATTTCTGTCCCATTCTCACCTCCAATCTGCTCATCTTTCTTCCATTCTG